GAATAATGTCTCCAAACTCAAAAGCATTTGGAGAAAAACAAAATGGGGGCCCAGGTTCGCTGATCTGATAGAGCCTGGTGGAACGACTGAGACTACGGCCCCTAGCTGCCCTTCAGGTCTGGAATTGAACCCACACCTGTGGCTTCCAGTCAAACAAAAGACAGGCATATGAGTTGAACATTTACCTGAGTCAGATACACTCCTTGGAGAGAACAATCATGGGAGAAAGAAGGGTTGTTTATGTACAGGAAGACAGCTCAGGGGGCAGGAGTGCATGGAGGGATGGAAGAGGTAACTATCGGGATGAAGGGGGAGGAGAGCCGTTGCACTGTGGTAAATTGTAGTCAATGTCATGAGACAAAGTATATGTGAACTGCTGTATGGAAAGTGAATTTGCTCTGTAAATTTTAACCCAAATCACAATTAAAAAAAAAAAAAAAATCAAAGATGTCAGTCTGAGGTGACCTTTAAAGTGTGCCTGACCCACACCATGGTCAGGTATTTTCAATCACCTTGTAAGCATGCAAAAACTGGAGAATGACTAAAGAAGACTGCAGAAGAATTGATGCATTTGAATTACGGAGTTGGTGAAGAATACTGAATATAGCATGGATTGCCAAGAGAACAAACAAATCTGTATTGGAAGAAGAATAGTCAGAATACTCTTTAGAAGCAATGACGGCAAGACTTTATCTCACACACATTAGACATGTTATCATTAGGGACCAATCCCTGGAGAATGTCATCATGGTTGGGAAAGCAGAGGGTCAATGAAAAAAAGGAAGACCCTCCACGAGATGGGTTGACACAGTGGCTGTAACCATGGGCTCAGACACAGCAATGATTGTGAGAATGGTGCAGAAACAGGCAATATCTTATTTTATTGTACCCAGAGTTGCTATGAGTGACTTAATGTACCTCACAACATTCTTAAGCCATTAAGTTTTTAAAGTTTGTTAAACACCTTCAGCTTCTTTATTCTAGTTTACTGAAAGACTTTAGGTTTCTCCTTCACAAAGCCTTTACTACTAACACCATGAAAATAGTTAATTTATCATAATATAAGATATATATCTCAATTGTTTACACAACTGTATCAGGATGTCAAAAGTTGTCCTTACTTCAACAAGAATTATCTTCTTATCAGTCCTCATATCATCTCCAAGCATTTGTAGCTTGTTATACTTAGTTGCTCTTAACAGAAACTCTTTAAAAACTGCCATCTGAGACTGATAAGGAAACATATGGAAGCTTGATTCTGGAAGGAAACACATTTAACACAAATTAGTTTTTTTTCAACACATTATATATAGTATTATATATTTAACATACGTATGTTGTTGTTATTGGGAGCTCTGGTGGTGTAGTGCCTAAGGCATTTGACTGCCAACCAGAAAGCCGGCTGGTGGTTCAAATCCTCCAGTCACTCCCCGGAAGGAAGATTGGGCAATCTCCTTCCATGCTGTTGTTGGGAGCTGCTGAGTAAATTTTCAATCATACTGATCCCATGTGATAGAGTAGAGCTGTCCTATAGGTTTTTCTAGGCTTTTCTGACTCATAGAGACCCCCATTAGGTTTCCAAGGTGGTAAGTCTTTATGGAAATAGACTGCCCTGTCTTTCTTCCATGGAGTAGCTAGTGGATTTAGAACCTCCAACATTCTGGATAGCAGTCAAAGACCCTAAGCACTGCAGCATCAGAACTCCTTAATTTTTATGAAAGTAGATTACCAGATCTTTCTGTTGAGAATCTGCTAGATGGGTGTGAACTGCTAATTTCTTGGTTAGCAGCTGAGTGCTTAACTGTTGTGCTTCCAGGGTCCCTTTATACACACACACACACACACACACACACACATTTATACATATGAAATGAAGCTCATAATATTATAGACTATTATTTATTTAGGAAAAGTTGTTCAAATTTAAAATAATATGTTCGTTTCAAAACACAAAAGTCACCACCAATAATAGCAATTTTTCTATACCAATAAATTAAATGACTTTAGAACACAGCTGTTAATATAATGGCTTAAGTATAGAAAAGCATATAAAATATCTGGAAAATGACTTCTCAGTAAAATGAGAGAACTGACCAAACTATTTATGATTTTGGACTACAAAATGAAGATTCTCCAAATTAGTGCATGACTATAATTAATCTCCAAAAAGCAAAGGTTTAACAAAAAAACAGAATGACTGATTAGTGAACTTGGGAGTAAAGAAAAGTTCTCTGAAGACATGTGGTTATATACAAGACTCCTTAAATGAAGACTTATCAGATGTCAAAAGTAACAATGCTATTTAGAAAACAGTGAAAATTCCAGGAACACAGCATTCTCCAAGCATAAAGTTGTGCACACCAAAAAACTCAATTGGTGTCAACTTGATTCTGACTCACAGTGACTCTAGAAGACAGAACAGAACTGCCCCGTAGAGTTTCCATGGCTGGACAATCTTGACAGAAGCAGAATGCCACATCTTTCTTCTGTAGACTGGCTGGTGGGTTCAAACTGCCAACCTTTCGTTAGCAGCCAAGTGCTTAACTACTGTGCCACCAGGGTTCCTTGGACATACAAAAGATGATATATAAAAGGGCCCAGGGAAAGGATTTTGCAGAATATTCCACTTCAAAATAAAACTATCCTTCTACAGAACCGCTCTGACTCCAAAATGGCCTAGAAAATTGGGCTATCTCCAGTCCAGCCACATACAGTGTGTACCAAAAAAAAAAAAAAAACAAACAAAGTTAAAAATGCTGGTGTAAAAAACTAACGCCAGATAGATCAAAGACTTAAAATGTGAAACATAAAACTATAAATTTCCTCAAGGAAAAACTAAGGGCAAATTTAGGGACCCTAATATATGGCATAAATAGACTATCAAGCATAACCCAAAATGCACAAACAGCAGAAGATCAACCAGATGAATGGGACCTTCTAAATATTAAATTTTTATGTGCTTCCAAAGACTTCTCCAAAAGAGTCAAACGAGAATCTACAGACTGTTAAAAAATATTTGACAATGACATATCTCACAAGGGACTTACCTCTAGAATTTATAGAAAACTCCAACACCTCAGTAACAAAAAGACAAATATTCTAATTCAAAACTGGGCAGAAGACAAGAATAGACACTTCACCAAAGAGGATATGCAGGTGGTCAAGAACCCCATGAAGAAATGCTCACTAGCATGATCATTAGCCATTAGAGAAATACAAATCAAAACAGCAATGAGATACTATCTTGCCCCAGCACTAACAGCAAAGTTTAACAAGACAAAATAACAAATGCTGATGAGGATGTGGAGAGACTGGGACTCATATACACTGCTGGTAGGATTGTAAAATGATACAACCACTGTGGAAAGCAGTATGGTGATTCCTTAAAAAGTTGGAATTAGAAATATCATTTGACCCAGCCATTCCATTACTAAGTATATATCCTAAAGAAGTGAAAGCCAGGACAAGAACAGACATATGCACACTAATGTTCATCACAGCACTATTTACAATAGCCAAAAGATGGAAACAACCTAGGTGTCCATCAACTGAAGAATAGATAACCAAACTATAGTACATACACACAATGGAATACTATGCAACCCTAAAGAATAAAGTAGAATCTGCAAAACACCACACAATGTGGATGAACTTGGAGGACATTATGCTGAGTGAAATAAGTCAATCACAGAAGAACAAATATTGTATTAGTCCGTTACTGCAAAAAGTCAAGGAAAGGTTTATATATGGAAGGAAATTTTCTTTCTTGGTTACCAGGGGTGGGAGGGGAGGGGAGAGAACATCGTTAGATAGGTAGAGACAAGTATTGATTTGAGTGAAGAGAAGGACAATGTACCAAATGTGAGTAATCAACACAGTGGTATTGAGGAAGAGGAAGTCATACAGAGGCACACAGGAGGTATAGGCAACAAAAATGAACCCTTTTGCACATACAGTACTGTGTTGTCAGTGAAGGCAAACATGGATATATGCGTGGACAAATGTGTGGATAGGCTGAACTATTAGGTATGTCTATGTGGGGTGGAGTGTATGCAAGACCATGTACAGGTTGGCAAACAATGTTTCTACAAGTGTATTGCTATGTTCTGTAAGAATTCCCAGTTGTATAGTAGAGCTGACAAGGGACAAGGCTGCACTCACTTCTGGGCACAGCCAGCTATCCAGAGGGAGTGAGTAGCTGAACTTGTGGGCTTGGGACCATAGTCGCAGGTGACATCAAGCTCAACTGGTATAATATATGACACAAAACATTGTCCCACCTCCTACTTTGGCAAGTAGTGACTGGGATCTTAAAAGCTCGTAAGCTGCCATCTAGATGCAACAATGGGTCTCTCCTCGTCAAGAGCAAAGAAAAATGAAGAAAACCAAAGATTCACAGAAACAATTAGTCCAAGCACTGGGTACACCATGCGATCCTCACCCAACACGATTATGTGACCAGAAGAACTGGATGGTGCCTGACTACCACTGTCAACCACTCAGAGGGAGATCTATGTAGGAGATCCTGGAGAGAGTGGGAGAACAATGTGCAACAAAACTCAGAATCATTTGGGGAAAAAAAAAAAAAGGTACCAGGTTTGCTGGTCTGATGGAGCCTGATGGAACCACTGAGACTATGGCCCCTAGCTGCCCTTCAGATCTGGAATTGAACCCACTCCTGTGGTTTCCAACCAAACAAAAGACAGGAGTATGAGGAGAACATTTTATACTAAGTAGATACCACTCCTTGGATAGAACAATCATGGGAGAATAGAAGGGCTGTGTATGCACAGGGACAGAGCTTAGGGGGCAGGAGTGCATGGAGGGAACAGGGAGGGGGTAAGTATAAGCAGGAAGTGGGAGGGGTGCTGTTGCACTGTGGTAAATTGTAGTCATGAGACACAAAGTATAAGTGAACTGCTGTATGGAAAGTAAATTTGCTGTGTAAACTTTCACTAAAATCACAAAAAATAAAATAGTAATAAAAATTAAATAAATAAATAAATAACCGTCAAAGTTAAAAATGTTTGGTGTAAAAAACTAACTCCAGATAGATCAAAGACTTAAATGTGAAACCTAAAACTATAAAGTTCCTCAAGGAAAAAACATGGGCAAATTTAGGGGCCCTAATATATGGCATAAACAGATTGTCAAGCATAACTCAAAATGTACAAACAAAAGATAAAGTAGATGAATGGGACCTTCTAAAAATTAAATTTTTATGTGCTTCCAAAGACTTCTCCAAAAGAGAACCTACAGAGTGGGAAAAAATATTTGACAATGACATATTTCACAAGGAACTTATCTCTAGAATTTATAGAAAACTCTAACACCTCAACAACAAAAAGACAAACAATCCAATTCAAAAATGGGCAGAAGACATGAATAGACATTTCACCAAAAGAAGATTTACAAGTGGCCAACAAACACATGAAGAAATGTTCACAATCATTAGCCGTTAGAGAGATGCAAGTCAAAATAACAATGAGATACCATCGCACCCCAGCATTAATGGAAAAGTTCAACAACACAGAAAATAACATATGCTGGGAATGATGTGCAGAGATCGGGACTCTCATACACTACTGGTGGGACTGTAAAATGATACAACCACTGTGGAAAGCAGTATGGTGATTCCTTAGAAAGTTGGAATTAGAAATACCATTTGATCCAGCAATCCCATTGCTAGATATATATCCTAAAGAAATGAGAGCCAGGACAAGAACAGATATGTGCATACCCATATTCATTGCAGCACTATTTACAATAGCAAAAAGATGAAAACAACCTAGGTGCCCATCAACAGAAGAATGGATAACCAAACTATGGTACATATACACAATGGAATACTATGCAACCCTAAAGGATAATGTAGAATTTGCAAAACACCACATAATA